CCTCCTTCTTCACATCGGCCAATACCTCCTCTTTGTATATCTTCCGTGGAGGTTGTTTGTAAGGACGAAATCCAGGTTTAATGGGTAATCGATGCTCAACAATGGAACGATCCAATCCAGGCATTTCCGTGTAATCCCAAGCAAAACAATCTTTAAACTCTTTCAACAGATCTATCAACTTTGATTTATATTCTGGGTCTAACTTTGCACTAATATACATCGGCCTTGGCTTAGAACCATCACCAACATCAATTTCTTCCAACTTATCAGCCGACATAAAACCACGTCCCAACTTTCCTTTGTTGCCATCGACAGGATTTCCCATTAAAAATTACTATGAGAGCCGACTGCTTGGATCGGCTGTTGGCCCTCGCTGAAAACATTTACAGGACCTTCTTTCCATACTTTTCCGGAGAAACAATCGACGTCTTCATATTCCCGAGAGGTAGATTCTGCACAAAGAACACTTACCGAATCATCAGCATGTACAACTTCAACGTCATCTCCAATCCATTGAATGAGAATTTGATGCATGGTTGAAGGAATGCAGCAATTAGCATGGATCCAATCTCTGCCCAAGAGTAGACTATATGCCCCCTTGCCATCAATGACAAAAAAGGTAGTAATCAGAGTTTTCGACCCAATAGTCAGCTCGACATGGATAGCACCTCGGGTATCGGAAGGGTTGCCAGCAAAGTCCCTAAGCACCATGTCAGTTTTCAACAATTCTTCATTAGTCATCCCAAGCTTTCTGAAGGTAGTATAAGGCATGATATTGATAGCAGCCCTCCATCAACAAACATCTTAGTTAAAGGCTTGCCATTGACATATCCTTTAAATAGAGTGGTCTCAAGTGACGATTCTTGATTGGTTTGTCAAAACAGCGACTGCTGTGTTAATACAAGTCGGGCCATCAAATCCGACATTCACTTTCATCAAAATCGAGTACACCTCTTCTTGGACATCTTGGCTTTCGGAGAGCTATAAACTCGATGGGAGGAAGAAAGTCATGCAAGCATCACCAAGGACCACATTCATCGAGCTTCTTCTTAGGGCGCCATATTTGCTTTGTTTCGTAACTTCCTGTTTCAACTCCCTATTCCTCAACCGTTGAACTCTTCTTTTTTCTCGACTTTTCCTCAGGCACCGAGGACACCACTTGTCCTTTTTGCCATACGTATCTATAGGAATCAGCTTCTTCATCATGCACTTTATCATGAATCCAACCTTGACATGCAAATCTCTTCCTTTGCTTTGATTCTCAAAATCATCTGCTTTTTAGCGCCGATCATCTTCGAGAACCTTCGTTCCAAGTCTTTCATAGACGGGACGGCGGTTGACTCGAGATTGCCTATACTCGGAGTACTGAGCACTACACTCCGGACAATTATTTCTAGCAGGTAACCTCAAGCCTTCATTCCAACAATGCCTAAAGAATGAACAACCCCAATGAGACTGCTCCTGTTCTGTCATGTATTCTTCTTGCTCCCTTCGGTATACCTCTTCCTCATACCTCCGGCATTCTTCCATAAACCATTGCTTCTTATAGTATTCCTTCTCTTGCTCTCTCGCCACTTGTTTAGCAAAATACGTGATGTAACTCGGGTTTGGAAGTTTGACCTTTCTCGGTTTAGCTATTCTCGAAACCGAACTCGTTCTTTGCAACTCTCTCGGGTGACTTGCCGATCCGGTCAACAACACCATTTTTCTTTGCTCTATCAGAAGTCAACACCTTCATCTTGCCTTTACCTTTGAGATCATTGGCAGAGACCATATTCACAGAGAAAGAAATCATATTTTGTGGAAAAGGCTGATCATCAATTTTCATCTTGCCATCAAACCTCAAATGTCCCTCTTGGATAGCTTTCTGGATTCGTATTCTGAACACTCGGCAATCATTGATAGAGTGAGAATTAGTGTTATGGAAACCACAATACTTTTTGTCTTTCACTCCCTCGGACGTAGCATGGGATGTCCTTCCGGCAACTTGATGCGTCCTTCCTTCATCAATAATGCAAAAAGCACATCTCTTAGTAGTAACATCGAAATCATAGGTTCCTTTTGTTGTTTCAACTAGCGTTGACTAATTTGAGTAGGCTCCTTTGCCCAATTCAACTCAATTTTGCAGACTATCTCATCTTCATCAATATACTCGATCGCTTCCTCCGTAAAACCTTGATACACCTCATTAGTGGCATTGTTCTTCCGAAAGCGATTATCTCTCCCGAATCCTTGGGCCTGATTACTCATAGTCGCTAAACGCCAGTGCAAGTTGGCCAAGATCATCAAACTCCATGCCAACAACTTCTCCTTGATATTCGGCAACATTCCTGCTATAGCTATTCCAGGTAGTTGATCATCTGGTAAATTCAGAGAATAACACATATTCTTGGTCTCCCTAAATCTGCGAAGATATTCCAATGGTGTCTCATTTGTTCTCATCCTCAGACTCATGAGATCGACCAACTTCTTCTCATTAGTACCCGTGTAGAAATATGAATGAAACTTACGCTCTAGCTCTTTGCGTACCAATGGAATGAGTGGTAAAGACGTGAACCACGTGAAAGCTGATCCCGTAAGAGACAAAGGAAAATATCGAATCCTCCAAGCTTCATCTGGCGCGGCTTCTCCAAGTCGCATTAAGTACCGATCGACGTGCTCTATGGTACTAGTATCATCTTGACCGAAAACTTGGTTAAATCCGTTGGAGGCTTCACCCTTGGAGGTAACGCCACTCTGTTGTACCACTCGGGTAAGGAGACTTGTATGAATAGGATTGATTTTTTGGCTTCAAGCGAACCGATTACGCATCATATCGCCCATCCTGCATCAAAACATCAATGCCTGAATCCTGATTTCCTTGTACTTGTACTCCAGAAGGCAATCCTGAAACACTCCTATACCCTGGATTTGGCACAGCATTGATAGCATTGTAATCAGTAAATTCTTGATACCCATCTCCATACATATTCTTCTGCAATCTGTTTGATGCTGGAGAAACTCTATAAGCTGAAGGTGGCACTTCTCCTGTGGTACCAAATGTTACCTGGCCATAGGTGGGATGTGATTGCTTTCCAGTGTGAGTCAATCCACCTATATTTGCAGTCGATGGTCCTTCTTTTCCAGCAAGCTTCTCTTGATGCTTTGGAACATTGAAAAGTGTCGGTCCACTGAATGGGCCAACATTTTCTTCAAAGTACTTATCAACCATTGGACCAAAAGTACTGATCATGATTGCCCGAAAGGTATTCAGAAAAGCTGTGTGATGGTTTGTCATGGTTTCTCCCATAGCTTTATAAACCAGGGCTGCCATCTTCTGAGCATCCTCCTCTTCAGTGTAATCAGTTTGATGTGGAAGAAGAACCCTTGGCATTGACTGCTTTTGAAACACTTTATTGCTCTTGTTTTTAGAAAAAGACATCAAACACTTCCGTTGGTATTGCTCACATGCTTGTAGCACTAAATCCCTGTAATTATCTGGCAATTCTGCCATGCTCACATCCAGAACATGATCATTGTTGATCTCAGACGCCATCTTGAACTAACAGATGCAAGACTAAAGATACAGAATTTAGTAGCAATACATAGAGCAGCAGCCGCAGCGATAAAAAGATACAGAATTTAGTAGCAAAACTAAAGATAAGAAACAAACATATGCAAGAGAAGGGATGGCTACTAATAGTGATGTAGCGGAGGCAAAGATTGCTCTAGAGGATATCCAGCTTATGCACAGACCTAACCATAAGCGTGGGTATTTTTACCTTAAGGATATGCCCATGCATTTGTCCAAAGAAGGACCCGTGGATCCAATATGGGCGGAAAATGAGCTAAAAAATAGCCATAAAATGGATTTGGATGATTCAAGTTGGGGATTTCTCACAGAACACTTCCCTCCATTTCCTACTACTAAGGATGCTAGGTAAATGACATCTTAAGCAGGCAGGATATGAAGATGGTGCTGCAAGTGTGGTTGGTGCTGGCATCTTGACAATTACTGTGGCCTTCTGTGAATTTATCTCTTCTTGTGCTTTCCATTTATCATTTATCAAGGTGTTTTTTGTTACGAGCTGAAAAAGCCCTTGGTATTTTTGTCACTTTTGTAGTCCTATGTAACTCGTGGAAAGAAGAAATCTGATTTGTTTTGAGAGTAGTCGATGGCTGGGATTAAAACAGCTATGGTGGATTGCAACTGCTGTGCTGAAGGGCTGGGGTCTGCTGTGCTCCATGAGAATTTAGAGGTGCACAAGTGTTTGGTGGAGAAGCTGGAGGAGCTCTCAAGACCGGAGCAGATGTGGGCTGGTTGTGTTGGAGCTGTGGCTCCCTGTTTCTTTTGTGTACTGATGAGGTCCAAACCTTCTTTCTTTTTTTTGGGATGGCTACTGAGTTACAAAATGTACTGATGAGGTCCAAACCTTCTTTCTTTTTTTGGGATGTCTATTGAGTTACAAATCTGTGGTAGCTTAATACCGTTGTGGTCTAGACGTCTGGTAGTAGTCGTGTGTCATACTCTACTTATGCTGTAGACGCCGGAACAATTTGGTCCTGATTAATACACTGCACTATGCATGATCTTCCAAGCCTGTGTTTGCACGTCTAGCATGTCATTCGACTGTTGTCTCCCAGTTCAGCAGATAATGATTTGCTTGAACCTTGCTGCTGCAAGTGACCTGTGGCAAAGAGGAATGCCAGAAAAAGAACCAAACGCTTTGTTCAACACCGGACTCAGCACCAAGCGCAGTGCTCCCACAAATTTGGGTCCAGTCTAGACAGTGAACACAAATAGCATCATCAAAGCCAAGACTTTACAAGAATCGCCACATCAACACATCAAGACTAGCAACATATCTCAAATATCTGAGAATAACTCTGAACATAATGCAGACTTTACAAGAATCGCCACATCAACAGATCAAGACTAGCAACATATCTCAAATATTAAGGTATGAGAGAGCGTGCGTTGAACATAGCACACTGAACCACACTGCTAAAGAAGCCATACATCAAACTTTCAGCAACCCACTACTGGAAGTTGTCCCCTTGTTTTTACACCTCTTCTTCCAAGCGTCGTATCTTGATGGTCCGCGTCCCAGGTTCTTTGGAGCAAAGAACACCCTCACATAAAATGGAACCGAGTCATCATCAGGATAACTTAAAGCTCCAACAACTCCATCCTGAAAGGTCCACTCCAAATGTGGATTTTCCCATTCCAAGCGAATACTCAGTTTTTCTTCTACCGTCACTGCAACCACATGCGTAAAGAGCTTGCCCTGAAAACATTTCCCCTCGAAAAGCAAAATCTCCTTATCAAAATAACTGCTGGAAGCAATGAATCTCACGTGCTGAGGACTGTCAACACCTGTGAACACCTCTATAACTGCCTCAACACTCTCTGAAAGGAACATAAAGTCCATATCCAAGATTGCATCTTCTCTGTGAATCCGCCCCGTGCGCATCTTATTGAAACTGGAGCGCAAGCAAATCTCAACATACTCAGAAAGTAACCGTTCATCGGTTGATCCCTCCTCTTCCTTTTTCACCCAAAGATCAACTTCCAACAATGCACGATCTAGTACATAGATTCCTCGGCAAGGGCTACAAAGAGGCAAGTCTTCAGATTCCTGCAATTTAACAATTTGTTAGAAATCAAAGGGTTGAACATGTACTCAAATAGAAATGTGTAACAACAGAATAAACACAACAGGATGTGAATGCTTGTATAAATGAATTATTGACAGATACTCTATCAGCAAGACAACCAGCTTTGCACATTTTTTCTTCTTGGTCTAATGACATAGATTTTTAGTGGATTTTGTAGCATGTTAGGGTGTTAAGAATCAACAGCAAAAAATGTGGCATACTCTCTTCATTGCAAAATGTACTACAAATGGTAGTTAAGATCCAATGATTGCTTTGTCAACTAGTATATGAACTGAGCAGCAAACAAATTAATCTGAAACGTTATAGATGAATGAAACGTACAAAGTTCGTGAACTAATGCATCTAACCATAAATAGCTCCTGATATTAAAAAAAAACTAATTGGCATGTATCTCATGCTTCTTATAATCATGTTCAGCAAATTTAGAGAATACCTAGTTGAGTGCCACATACTTTGTTTCCTTATCAAGGTGTCTAGACTCTAGACCATATCTAGAACCCCAACTTAGGCAAAGTTGATAAAAAAAAATATGTGGGGAGGTGTGGCAAGGCACAACATCAAGTGAACCAAATGGCACCCTGGAAGAGTCGAAGCTTTTATAATCTGAGAATATGGCAACGAACCATACCCTAACTTTGTTACAAGTAACTGTTGACACAAAATGTGACGATGCTTGTGCCCCACACACACTACAAGCCGGAAAGCGTAGCTTCAATTGGGTGCCCGGTGCTTCGTGATCCGGAAAGCGTGCCGGTCGGTTTGACTGAAAAAAACTAACAAGGGATAAAACAGATTAAATGCCAAACCGAACATGTCGGGTGAGACCGAGACAGTTCCATATATCTGACTCTGAAGCCACTTACAACGACATACAGACTATAGGAAACTATCTGCCAGCAAGTTTATAAACCATTCGGCTAATCGTAAGATGAGCATACGTAAAGATCCGATTGCCGAATGCATGTGCATGGGAAGACATGTTTGAACAAGTGAAATTAATCATGAGTTAATGCATAACCAAGCTCAGCAATCCAGCCGAGTTGGGGTCCATGAAGAAGGAACGCGCAAATAAACACGATTAAACTAATCTAAAACTCATCATCGCGCCGCACGACACCTAGTTTCGTCAAAGCTTAAACGTAATTAACATGCATGAACCCACGACATGTGACAATCTAGATTAAAATAATTCAGCCATTACGAGCATGTTATCTATTTGCAAAGGTAATACGAAAGTAATGATCATTGAAGCACGAATAAAACCATAAGAGAGGGCCGAACAATATCAATCTAGATTGGGCATAAGTGTGTTACAAATATATAAAATATTTAAAACATGCAACACAGGATAACTTAATGAATCTATTTAGATTTTGCCGTATCTAATAGAGCCGATAACTGTGTTGCCTTCACTAAGCATATTGAGCAAACGCCTGCCGCACGGTATCTACTCATAAACAAAGCATAAGCAAAGATTTATTTTGAGATATTAGTTAGACTATCAATTGGAGTATTTGGATCCAGTAGTGCTAGTTTTAGCTGTTGTAACAATCAGTAGGTGGGATCCGACCATCCCATTATCCTCAAAACTCAACTATTGACGTTTATAGCACCTCAAGATAGACTACTAGTCTCAACATTAATCATAAGCATTTGACTTCTTATTAATGTACTGCGTGTGCTTCAACTGGGTTCTAAAAAGACGAATACTGTGTTTGTCATATTATAATAACTGCCTGTAATAGTACATATAAGCACCAGTTACATATTTCCTGTGGCTTCAAAAATTCAAACTAGATGTTGCATTTGATGTCAGTGTACGCACTTGTTGAAGCAGGGTTATTGACATGCCTCACATGCGTGAGATCATAAAAACGAACTAACGTCGACATAGAACTGGCACCTACTCCAGCATTGGCACAGCAAAATAAATGTATTACGCACTAAACTAAGCCACAGAATATTGTTAGATACAGAGAGATGATTTGGTCAATGATCTTTGGCAAACGCCTCTTCCAATGTCATCAGCCAAGTCACGTACTGGCTGCGCTCCTTCTCAAGCAAGTGTTGGAGAATTGAGGTTGCCAGTTTGGAGTTGACGCCTCTTGCTACCAGACATTCTCGCAAACCAGCCTGTAGCCGAGGATCCAAGTCTCTGTGCAAAGAAAGGCAAACACTGTCACTGAGTGCAAATGTGTGAGTTCTAAAAAAACAAACTTCCTAAGCTTGCCACTGATGTTAGTAGTGTTGATGTTCTGGAGAACTTGTATCATTTATGCCTCCTTATGTAGGACACTTTTCTTACAACCACCATGATCTGAAGAATTTTGACACGGTCAACTACTTTAGGAATGAATGGAACAAAGAATAAGGGTGATGTTGTCCAAATTTAACTCTCAGTTCAGATCAAAGAAAATTATAGCTGCATTACACTAGATTGTTCTAAAGGATACAGCATTAATCCTTAATTGACAATGGCTACTTTTCTGTATGACAAATTTTTCATGAGTGCAGATTTGGTGCCCAGGGGGGCTTGGGGCTGGCGCCCTCGTTAGCTAAAATACCATGTTGCAATGTTTCAAAAATCATCACAAAATCATGTATGTAGTACACATAAAGTTAAGTATTGCTGCAACAATTCAGTTTGAAATTCATCCTAGACGCCAACAAACAAAATAGACAAGCAGTCAACCTGGCACTGTTCATCATGTGCTGACAGTGACACTTCTGTTTTTTTTAATCTCAGCATCAAATATGAATTTCTCAACTGAATTTTTGTGGCTACACTTAACTTTAGGTGTACTACATACATGATTTTTTGATGATTTTTGAAGCATTGCAACATGGTATTTTAGAACGAGGGCACCATATGATTTTCCTTTATTCATCAAGTGTTACTATTTTATTTCCTCACTGGTTTGCTATGTGTTCTTCTTCCCATTATGCTCTAGTCAACAAAGGGGTATAATATGGACCAAGTATCAAATTTTCATTGTCATACATCAAATTTGGTAGCAAATGACCATCTCGAGACCAGTTTTTTAGGTTAACATTAAATGCTGTGAATTGTAGCCCAGCAAGGCAGAAACTACCCTTGTTTCGTGCTGGTTGGCTTCAAACAATTGAAAGAAATTTGGCCCAAATAATCCAAGATGAGATAAGGTATTCAAATGCATGGAACAAACAGGTCAATCAGATTCCCTACATCCACAATCACTTCCCCTAAGTTTATTACTTTATAAAATTACTTTATGTGCTGAAAAAATATTTGATAAGCCCATTTAGATAATCTAGTTAAAGATAATGAACATCACAATGAATATCATGAGATTACAAATTAGAATAAAAATAGCATAGGAACCCAGGATAATTTCATGTGATTACTTTGATCCAGGATCAGGGCATGCTTATTTACATATCCAGGTTTTCCAATCTTTGAGTTGATTATTAATTCTGTACTTCTGAAGAGACTAGCATCACCCTTAACCTAAAGTTTCAACTAGCATGATTGTCAATCAAAAAACGTCTCTCACAACATGAACTTCAAACAATAGAGGTGCATATGGTTCTGCTAAACCATGTGCAGTACTGATAGACAAACAGCATTGGAAGCTTACTCCCCAGATCTCACAGAGGCAACAGCAGAATTTAATTGGAAATTTTAAAGGCAAACGGAACTTTCAGGAGTAAACAAGTTCGGTGATTACCCTCATGGTACAATGGTCCTTGCATACTTAGCCATATTTTGTGGACCATCCTTAGCTTACTCAAGAATTTTTCTAGGCAGTAGGCACAAAACCCTTTATCAAGAAAGAATGGTAATTGAATAAAAAATAAATTTCAGACTAGCTGTACACATGGCATTGAATATTTTCGAAAATAACCACATCAATATCTAATTACCAAGAACAAATACTTGGATCGTTACCAATATTAAAAAAAAAGGCGTACCCAGTGCAGAGACTCCCGCTCTGTGCGGGGTCTGGGGAAGGGTGTTAGTGGCAAGCCTTACCCTCGCCTGTGCAATGCGAGGAGACCGCGACTCGAACCTGGGACCTTCCGGTCACAGGCGGTAAGACTCTACCGCTTACACCAGGCCCGCCCTTCGATCGTTACCAATATTACAGAGGTTAATAACTATTCGTCTCATACTAGTGATGCAATCCTGGATATAATATAATGGAACCTACACTGAACAAGTCTCCTTAGGTTTCATATGTTGATGACAACTAAGAGCTAACAAAATGCTAGGCAATAACAACAGTTCGACGAAATGTCTTCAGAGTACAGCAGATATTTGTGATTCATGCCTAAGATACTAGCACAAGTCTTGACATTCGATGCAATACAATTTACAATTTTAATCCTGCAATGATTAACCATCTATAAATTCCAGGAATGTCTACACTATCTTCAAATATGCTGTGACAAATTTTAACATGAAAATGCCAGTCATCTTTGCAAAAGAGATTGTCCCCAAAAAAAAAACTTTGCAAAAGAGATAGGCAATGCTGATCAAAATCATACAGCACACATGTGGGGAAAAAATGCTCATTTTACAGATTTTTCTTGCAGGGAAGCCAGCTTTATTAGTCAATTTTATGTGCTTTACATGTGCAGTAAAGCCATCTTTAATATCTGTGGATGCATTGTGCACATAAAACAACAACAGCATCCACAGGGGTTTTTTTTTTTTACATAAAAGACCAAATAAAAAACAAGCAGAGCATAAGAGCACCACCTGAACACCGGGCCTTCATACTCGTCTTCTCCAGCGGCGCCTGGAGAGGAGTGGTACCGGACAGCGTTAATAGCATAGTCAGCAGCGCCGCGCTCCTCCTCCCCAACCCAAGACGCACGGCAGTCGAAGTGCAGGACGGGCGTCGCGCCAGGCTTACTGACGAAGACCTTCATGAGGGCGGCCCTGGGCAGCGGGTCCTGCTCTACGAACCGCAGCGGGGCGAGCAGCGCCGACACGAGGACCTCCTCGGAACCGGCCCGGCGGCGCAGGAGCACGTCCTGCGCGCGCGGGGAGTCCGACACGGCGTCGAAGCCGGACGCGTCCTGCGAATTGGGGGGGGCGGCGGGGGGCAAAGGTGTGAGCTTTGCGCTGGATCGGGGGGTTGGGGTTGTGAGAGGATGAGGATGCGCGTTACCTCGAAACGGAAACGAAGGGGAGTGGAGGGGGAGGAGAAGGTGAGCTCGTGGGCGAGCTCGGCGCGGAGGGCGGCGGCCAGGACACCGCCGTCGGTCGCGCCGCGGCGGAGGGCGGCGGAGGCTGTTAGCCGCCGCAGGAACATGGCGCACGGCGGGACGGGATGCAGAATTGCAGATCGATTCGGTCGCGGCTCGCAGCTCGCAGGCGCAGCCCGGTCCATTTGCAAAGGAGCCCCCAACAAACAAAGCAAATTCTTTTTTTTTTCGACATGCAGATGCACGCTCTAACTCGCGTACATACACAGAGAAATATACAGTAAATTGTGAGAGAATTTTGGCTGCAGCTGCAGTTGCTTAAGAGCAGCCGATGATGGTAAGAACTACATGAACATTCCATACTTTGATATTATTATTGTATAGGTAGATATGTAGAAACTAAGAATTGAAGTATATAGTAGATATAAAGATTATTGATATGTACTCCCACCATTTTAAATTATAAGACACTTTATATTTTCTACATACATAATTTTTACTATGCACTTAAATATATATTATATCTATATACATCGTTAATTAAAGTAATGTATTTAATTATAAAAGTTAAAATATTTTATAATTCGGAACGGAGGAGTAGGCAGGAAGGAAGAGGAGGAGAGAACCGGATGCGTCCAGGGGTTGGATCGGAGGGAAGGCGGTGATCTTCGGACGCCGATGTAATTGAGAGAGATAGACGAGCCAACTCTTGCAATGGATTTACGTGAGTTCGTGACACGTACGTGTCCCCTGTCCATCTACTCTTCCAATACACGTGGATACAGGTACAACATCAAGGTACTTTACACTAATCCATATATCATCTGGCCTGACCAAGACCAACCACTACCACACTCGATGACCAAGGGTGTGGGTGTGGTTTCCAAGCACCCACTCCCTCTTCTTGTTCCTCGTCTCCAGCGGTCTGAGGTGCACTACCGAAAACAGTAGGATTGCCGAGTGTCTGACGGTTTATCGAGTGTATTTCATCGGGCACTCGGCAAACATATAGCACTCGGCAAAAGCAAACTTTGCCGTGTGCCTAATATAAAACACTCGGCAAAAGAAAACTTTGCCGTGTGCCAAATATAAAACACTCGGTAAAATACAAAAAACTCTCGGCAAACATGGACACTCGGCAAACTGGAGTCACGTGCGCTGGGCGTGCGACGGCCATCTAACGGCCGTTGGGTGCGCCGCTCTGCCGTTAGAACTTTGCCAAGTGTCCGTTAGAGACACTCGGCAAAGACAAGATATGCCGTGTGTTTTTTCTTGACACTCGACAAACTAATTTTTTTGTCGAGTGTTTTTTGTTTACACTCGGCAAAGTAATGTGGTTGCCGAGTGTTTTTTAATGGCACTCGACAAAATAAATTTTTTTTCTCTCCTGCCCTCCAAACTTTTTCTACTCTCCACATACATCATGTGGTACTACATGTTAAAATTTGATATATTTCTCCATCTATTTGCTATATTTAAGTAATTTGTTGCATTTAGAGGAATTTTTTGGTTGAAGTCAAATTTGAAATGCAAGTTATACAAATAATGGAATAAATTGAGTGGAGAAATTATATTCATGTTATTGAGTCCATTTTGGGGCCTTATTAGGGAAATGAAAAGAATTTTCGAACATTTTATTCAGGAAACACGACCACGAACGTGTGGCCGGATGGTTTTTAAATTCTAAAAAAAGCAAACGAAGTCTGAAAATGACGAGATTTGTCAAGATCTCCTAATATCATACGTGGAGGCTTTGAAAAAAAATTGAGAAGGTTTCGCACAATTTGTCACGTAAGACCTTTACAAACAGAAGCATCTCCGTACAAGAATCGTAACTTTGCCGAGTGTTTTTTCGTGGTGCACTCAGCAAAATCGACGTCACCGTTCCATCCCGTCAAATTTTTTTTGCCGAGAGTTTATTTTTGCCGAGTGTTTATTGACACTCGGCAAACTGTTTGCCGAGTGCCCGATAAAAAACACTCGGCAAACTACTGTTTGTCGACAAATCAATGTCGTGTCTTTGTATGTTAAGTGTAACACTTTCGGCAAACCATTTGCCGAGTGTTTTGGGCCTTTTGCCGAGTGCCTCGGCACTTGGCAAATCTCTGTTCCCGTGGTTGGTCGGCGGGCTGACGGGGTCCTCGGCCACAAGGCCCGTGGGCGAACGAGCGCGTGCTCGTTCGCCTCGCCTCCATCGCCGCGGGGCTTGCTGCCGCCACCTTGCCAGCCCGGCGCTGCTATGCACGGTGACCACCGGCTGCTCCCCTCCTCCCGATTCGCTTTGCGTTGTGACTTAGTCGTGGGCTCCTTGGGCGGGGCCTGGACCCACCGTCGTTTGGCTCTAGGCACCGTCACCTGCCGGTGAGCGCCTCCCACTGTCGCGGGCGAGTCCGACAATGGCTCCGCGTGTTGTAGCGGCGACCGGCAACCCTCCTCCGTCTAGGCGCGGACGCTTGCCGGTGCGCGCCTCCTACCGTCGCGGGCGAGTCCGGGAACGGCTCCGCGAGGGGTGGCGGCGGCCGGCACCCACCCCTGCGCGTCTCCCACAGTCACGGGCGAGTCCGCGGACGGCTTCGTGAGGTGTGGCGGCGGCCGGCACCACCCCCGTCTAGGCATGGACGACTGCCGGTGCGCGCCTCCCACCGTCGTGGCGAGTCTAGGAATGGCTCCGCGAGGTGTGGTGGCGGCCGACACCACCCCCGTCCAGGCGCGAATGACTGCCGGGTGCGCGTCTCCCACCGTCGCGGGCGAGTCCGAGTATGGCTCCGTGCGTTGTGGCAGCGACCGGCACCCCCCTCCACCGTTCAGGGGCGGACGCTTGCCGGTGCGCGCCTCCCTCCACGAGGTGTGGCAGGGACTGCCCCCCCCCCCTCCGTCCAGGGGCGGACGCTTGCTGGTGCGCGCCTCCCACTGTCGCGGGCGAGTCCGACAACGGCTCTGTGTGGTGTGGCGGCGACCGGCACTCCCCCTTCGTCCTAACGCGGTCGTTTGTCGATACGTGCACCTTCCTCTGTCGCTGGTGGGTCAACAAGAGTTCCGGCATAGGTTCTGGGTGAAAGTTCTACTCAGATCAATCTGAGCCAGCGACGATGATCTCCTTCTTCAAGGCGTCCCTGCAGAACCTCTTGTTGCCGCTTCTCCGTGATCGGCCCATTTCAACCCCTCGGCATAAGGCTCGGGCGAAAAACCTTGCCAAGCTCCTGAGGTGTCGCCTTTTGTTGCTTGGCTGACGATGATTACGCCGCGGCGTCATCCACCTCGCTAGAGGCATCGTCAAATGAGCTCCTATGTCTCGGTGTTGTAGTTTTCTTTCTCTTTTAATTGTATTTGTGGATCTGCCACAATCTAGCCCTTATACTAGGGTCGTTGTTCACTTGTTCTGGTTTTACATTTTTGTACCTCTATAATCAGGGCTCCGATTAGCTCCTGATTTATGCTCTGTATCCTGAACTTTTGTTCTGATCTTAATGAAATCCAGGCGAGGAATCTCTCCACTCCGTAGTCTGTTTCAAAAAAAAAGGAGGGTGTGGGTGTGGGGTGTTACAGGTATTAAAACTGATACTAGCTTAGGATCGTGACGCAAACATTGCATATTTCCTGTCCGTCCATCAGCGTCGTATTTAATTTGCCTGAATGCGTAACTAGTGACGCTCACGTGTTAACGTGCTCCAAATGAAATCCGCTTCTGTCTGTCCATCAGCGTCCTATTTTAAGTAGACCATATACACTTTCAGCACTTACCATTTGAAGATATTATATTATATATACACCAGCCGGACACCGCTGAGTCGTCGCTGTCTGTCCATCAGCGTCGGATTTTAAGTAAGTTCCCAATTTTTTTTTTTGGTTTGGCTACGGTTTGGCTACTGTAATATTTTTGTTTGTATTTGGTAATTAATGTCTAATTATGGATTAATTAGGTTCGAAAGTTTCGTCTCGCGATTTCTCACCCAACTGTGCAATTATTTTTTTTTCATCTACATTTAGTACTTCATACATGTGCCGCAAGATTCGATGTGACACTTTGGGGTGAAAAATTTTGGGAACTAAACATGCCCTAATCCATACACTTTGAGCACCTGACCAACGCAAGATAGTACTAAATAAGTCGTTACACATATTGATCAAATACAGCATTGAGACGAAGATAGTACTTAATATTGTATGTAGATGCAATGATGTATATTGATCAAATACAGCATTGAGACGAAGTATCAAATTAATATGGATGTAAAATACATGCGTTTCAATCAAGAAAATAGGTACGTATATATATAGCAGTCTTTGCTTTGACATCGATCGGCTGCTGCGACGTCATCTCCGTAACCGTAAACGTGAGATCCGTCATCCGTCCTGCATGTTTCCTCGCTGGCTGTTGCGTGCGCGGCCAGGGTTCTGGTTTTGTCGTTGTTTCCTTTGGGGGGTTTGGGTTTTGCTGCTTCCTTTGGTGGACGGATGGATGGATGCATGCCGCTCGTTTCTAACCGCCCGATTAGGCGGGCGGGCCGTTTTTTTTATTCATTTATTTTTTGCAACTGATGAAATCGGGATTTAGGATTACGCCGCTCATCGATTTTGGCCACTGCTTTTGTTGATCCAACAACTCGGATCTGTCAATTTGTTCTGTAATTGAAATCTGTCACCTGATGTTGCAGCCCATTTTTAGCCCGTTTGCTAGCTGCTACTCTGATGTTGCAGCCCAGCATATCGGGGCTCCCTTCCCTTGGGCCTTTTTTTTGTGACTTTGCGTCTTGTCAGTCTATCTGATCCGATTATAGCCAAACTCGGGGATGCGAGATTACTCGTCGTACCTTTGTCCTTCTCATAAAAAAAACTTTTCGTAACTTTGTGTTGTGATTTTTTTTTAAATCATGGATGTTGAATTGATGGATGAATCCAATACACAAACAAATAAGAATCAAGTAAAAGGAATATTATCATGTTCCGTCCCCAGTTATAAGACGTTTTGGCTAAAAGCAATGCATCTAAAAAAACCAAAACATCTAGATATACATAGATATGCACATAGATATACACTATGTCCATACTAAATCCGTCCCAAATTATAAGATGGATGAAATAAGTTTTTGCTATGTACATAGATATA